GCGCCCGCTGCAGGCCCTCATGTCCCTGTCTGCCAGTGAGTGCAGCCCCCACGCGGGCACAGCCCCCTGTGTGTCCTGCCGTCCCTTGGGGGTCCCTCAGCCCCCTGGGTGTTCCTCAGCCCCCATGGTGTCCCCACAGCCCCCATGGTGTCCCTTAGTCCCCTGGGTGTCCCCACAGGCCCATGGATGTCCCACAGCCCCCAGATGTCCTGCTGTTCCCTGGGCGTCCTTCAGCCCCCTGGGTGTCCCGACAGACCTCTGGATGTCCCACGGCCCCCTGGGTGTCCCCACAGACCTCTGGATGTCCCACGGCCCCCTGGGTGTCCCCACAGACCTCTGGATGTCCCACAGCCCCCTGGGTGTCCCCACAGCCCCCTGGGTGTCCCCACAGCCCCATGGATGTCCCACAGCCCCCACCTGTCCCCACAGTCCCCAAGGTGTCCCCACACTCCCCTGGATGTCCCCACAGCCCACTGGGTGTCCTTCAGTCCCCAGGGTGTCCCTGGAGCCCCCTGGGTGTCCCCAGAGCCCCCCGAGTGTTCCACAGCCCCATGGATGGCCTGGTGTCTCCCAGAGCCCCACAGTCACTTCCACATCATTCCCCTCTGCCCAGCACTCCGCCTGTGATGCTGCCCACCCCCAAGAGCCCTGTGCCAGCTCAGGGCCTGGGGGTCACTGACAGGCACCCCAATCCCCTCTGTCCCCCCAGCACTGAAGGCCCTGGAGAGCTCCAGCCGGCGGGCCCTGCAGGGTCTGGTGTTCCTGGTGGGCAACGGGCTGGGGCTGGCACTGGCCCTCTACAAGTGCCAGGCCATGGGGCTGCTGCCCACTCGCCCTTCCGACTGGCTGGCCTTTGTCACCCCCCCGCAGGTGAGCCCGGGGCCCTGGGGACACCCCGCAGGGACAGGGGCCCTGGGTCAGACACTGTGCAGGGTCAGGGGTCACCCTGCAGCGTCAGGGGTCCTGGGTGAGACACCCCACAGGGTCAGGGGTCACTCTGCAGAGTCAGGGGTCCTGGGGTCACCCTGCAGGGTCAGGAGCCCTGCGTCAGACACCCCCCAGTGTCAGGGGTCCTGGGGTCACCCCACCGAGTCAGGGGTCACCCTGCACAGTGAGGGGTCCTGGGTCAGACATCCTGCAGAGTCAGGGGTCCTGGGGTCACCTCACTGAGTCAGGGGTCCTGGGTCAGACACCCCACAGGGTCAGGGGCCTTGGGGACACCCTGCAGAGTCAGGGGTCACCCCACAGAGTCAGGGGTCCTGGGTCAGACACCCGGGGCCCCCGCTCACCCTTCCTCTCTCCCCTCTCTTGGCAGCGAATGGAATTCACTGGGGGGGGCCTGATCTTGTGACCCCCTGCGCCACCCACCAATAAAGGCAATGGCAGGATGGTGACATCGCTTCTGGGGGAATTCCGAGGGTTTGGGTGTTGTAGTTCATTTTGGGGGGGGGGGAGCTCCCCGGAGAGCCCCCTAGGCTGTGTGCTCGCTGGCAGCAGCAGGCAGGCGAGGAGGCTCCACACGGCTCCTGAGGGAGCTGATCAGATGAGGGTTTATTGGGGGTCCCATCCCTGGGAACAGCACGGCTGCTGAGGGAGAAGGGGAGAGAGGGAGGGACGGGGAGCCTGGGGGAGGGAAGGGGCAAGAGGGGGAAAGGCTAAGAGAGGGGGAAAGGCTAAGAGGGGGACTGGTCTCCCTAGCACAGCTTGAGAGGGAGATTGAAGTGGGCACGGAATCAGATTTGGGCCAGTGGGATTACAGGTACATGGTGGTTCAGGGCACGACCACAGGCTTGGGATATAGCATACATTTCGGAGGGGTGAGACAGGGCATACCATTTCAATAAAGTGCAATACTGCACCTGGGGACTCAGCCCAAGGCAGCACTGGGTTTGGGTGAACTAAAAAATGTTTATTGGGCTCTACTGGGACCACTGGGAGCACACTGAAGTTTGTACCGGGAGTGCTGGGAGTGCCCTTGGAACCTGCAGTGGGAGCACTGGGAGCTTTGGGGCCTGTGCTGGGGCCAGCACTGGAGGGACTGTCAGAGCCCCAGGACCCATACTGGGAGCCATACTGGGAACACTGGGAATATACCTGTGGCCCGCATGGGGAGAGCTGCAGCCTGAGGCTGCTCTGTACTGGAAGCGCTGGGTTCATACTGGGAGCACTGGGGATTATTCCAGGGTCTGGATTTGACTGCAGGTCTTGCTGGTGTGTACTGAGAGCACTGGGGCCATACTGGGATCCTGTCTGAAGAGCTGTGGCTCACTGGCATGGTGCTGGGAGTGCTGGTGGTGTGTTGGAAGCGCTGGGCACATACTGGGACTGTGGCAGCCCATACTGGGGTTGTGCTAGAAGACCCGTGGTGCAGGCCAGTGTTGTACTGGGAGCGCTGGGCCCGCACTGGGATGGTGCTGGGTGTGCCCACACTGCTGGTTGCTGCCACATTTCACCATTGCACTGTGGTAGTTTCTCCATTTTGACTTTTTCTCACCACTTCTTCCACATTTGTGCCCCGTTTTTGCCTTTTTCCCTTATTCTTTCATACTTCTTTTCCCTACTTTTGCAGTAATTTCTTCCACTGTTGCTCCCAGTAGAGCCCAAACCTGTTTTCCAGTATGGACCAGTGCCTCCCAGTATAGCCTTGTGCCCTCTCCGGGACTTTGAGTGTGATCCAGGACTCCAGGATGACGTTTTCATGGCCCAGAGCCCAATCCCAGTATATCCCACCAGCTCCCAGTGCCTTGCCACACCACCCAGTGTTCCCAGTGCCACCACAGCTGTCCTGGCGGCAGGGATACAGCAGGGCCTCCACTCAGTGAGGACAGGATGGTGTCACCTGTCACTCAGCTGACCTGGCTGTGGCATGTCCCGCGGTGTCAGCAGGCACAGTGACCCCAGCACAGCATTTCCTGATGGTCACACCTCCCACAGGCTCATCCAGCTTGGAAAATCCCTCCCAGCCCATGGAGTCCCAGCTGTGCCCAGTCCCCTGTCCCTGCCCCCAGCCCAGAGCTCTGGGTGCCACCTCCAGGGGACCCCTCCAGGGATGGACACTCCAGAGCCCCCTGGGCAGTGCCAGTTCCTGAGCCCCCTTTCCATGGGGAAATTCCTGCTGTGCCCACCCTGAACTGCCCTGGCCCAGCCTGAGGCCGTTCCCTCTGCTCCTGTCCCCTCGTGTTAGAAATAAAATCAATCAGTGGAAATAAACCTCTCCAGCAGCAGTGCAGCCCTGAGCAGCGGGCACTCCTCACTCAGCTGCCTCCTCTCCAGTATTGTGTGTGCATGCTGAGCACAGCAAAGCTCCTGTTCCAGGCTGCAGTGTACAGGAGTGCTCACAGGTTCTCCCAGGACAAACACGTGTGTGGTGACCATTTATTTCCCTGAAGTCATTAACACATTCCCTCCCACCAGCACCCCTGTCCTGGGGGTGTCTTTGCTGGCCCCTCATGGTCAGTGACCCCCCAGTCTGACCACTCTGTGAACTGGTGCCCAGTTAGGAGAAAGGCTGGCAGAGCTGGCCTAGCTCATTAATTTGTGAGGCTTGGAATCAGTGGAGTGTAGTTTCTTATTCCTTTCCGTGGTTAATGTTTATTGTACTTTTGATTGTGCACTTGCACAGTCTAACGATTTTGCTAAATGATCATTGTATTCACCCACCAGGTGCAATCCATTCTTCATCTGGCAGCATTGTCAGGGAGTTGTTGTTAGGCAGAGCCACAAGGGCCCCCCTGAGCCTCCTTTTCTCCAGGCTCAGCCCCTTCCCAGCTCCCTCAGCCTCTCCTGGGGCTCCGTTCCCTTCCCAGCTCTGTTCCCTGGACACGCTGCAGCCCCTCAGGCCCTGCCTGAGCTGAGGGGCCAGCGCTGGAGCCAGCTGGGGATGGAGCCCCAGCAGTGCCAGCACAGGCACAGCCCAGGATCCCTGGCCCTTCCTGGCCACCTGGAATCACATCCACCAGCCGCTGCTCCGGCGTTCCCTGTCCTTCCAGACGTGTTTCCCAGGGCACACTGCACACCAGTGGCAGTGGGAGGGTCTCCTTCCCCCCGTCTGCCCCATTCCCTGAGGTCTGGCTGCTCCCACTGCAGCTCAGACACCGCTGCTCATCCCTGCAGGACAGCAGGGACACAGCGGTGTGACAGAGTCCTGGCAGTGACAGCCTGCCCTGGGAAGGGACCCGTCAGCAGAACCAGTGGCCTGTAAGGCAAGGAGACACCAGTGTGGGCTACACAAGACACAGAAAGTGGGAAGAGCTCGTGAAGAGACACCTGGCTAGTGCTGGGCATCCACGGAGGGCTTCCCTGCTGGCAGGTGCCCAGAACTGGGATGGCTGCATCATTTGTGGGAACACCAAGGCACAGAAACAGCTGCTGTGAGGGGCACGAGTGCCTGGGGATCCCGTGTGGATCTTCTGCTGGACCTGGGGACACCTGTGTGCTGTTTTACATCCCTTCCCCAAGGCCAGCGTAACACCACATCCACCACAGCCACACCCTCAGAGCCCTGACCCTGCTGTCAGGACTGTCCCCACACTGTCCCCAGCACCAGGGCCTGGCATGGGCATCCCTGGGCCAGAGCAGATGGAAAATCCCCTCCTGCGATCCTCCCTGCAGCCAGCAGGTCAGCTGAGCTCAGGAATGGCCCGGATTTCATTTCCCAGGGGAAGGCAGAGCCACGTGCAGATGGGTAACTTCCCTGGATGCAGCAGGCAGCTGAGACTGCAGGCAGGGAGTCTCCAAGGGACCTGGTTCTGCTGCCAGTTCCCAAACCCGAGCTGCACTTCCAGGGCCCCCCGCCCCGGGGCTGAGCCCCCAGCCCGTGAGCCAAGGGCAGATCCGGGCGCTTCCTGGGCCACCAGAGCTGGCACAGCCGGCAGGGAGGCACCGACTGCCCTGCCCCACCTGCACCCCCGCTCCTCTGCTCGGCCTCCCTGCCCTCCTGGCTCAGGCAGAGCCCCAGCCGCCTGCACGGTACCCAGTGACACAAACAGAGCACGAGCAGGGCCGCGACACAGCTGCTCTCCCGTTTATTTCAATCGCACCGCTGTGAGCTGCGTGCAGGGCGTGCACACGGACGGCCGGGTGAGCTGGGCAGCCGCAGCGTGCGGGGAGGGCAGGGGCTTTGTTCACAGCACAGGGAGCGCTCCGTCCGGCCCGGCGTGCCCGCACCGCCGCGCTGCCCCGCGGGGCCGCGCCGAGGGGACACGGGCGGCAGCATGCGGCGCTGGCTGCGTCTCACCGCGAGGGCCCGGCGCCGGGGACAGCAGCTGCAGGGCATCCCGCCGGCCCCCAGGGCTCATATACTGTCCAGCTTCTTCAGGATGAACGGAGCTGAGGGGAAAACAACGCTCAGACACCGCCCCGCGGGGGCCGGGCCCGGCACGGCACCGAGACCAGGCTCGTCCCGCACGGCGGCCCGGCACAGGCTGGGAGCGCGGGCCCGGGATGTCCCCGCACGGCGGCCCGGCACAGGCTGGGAGCGCGGGCCCGGGATGTCCCCGCACGGCGGCCCGGCCCTCGCCGGGGCCGCGATACCCGCTCACTCACTGATCCGCAGCAGTGCGACGTAGATGAGGAAGTTGCGGACGGAGGAGAGCACGTCGCGGCGCATCTTCCGCCGCAGCTCCTCCGGGTCCATCTTGGGCCCCAGCCCCTCGATGCGGAACATCCCGGACCGGAGCTCGTTCCCGGCCTCGGCCTCGACCCCGACCCGGCCCCGGCGCCGCTGGCGGCCACGCGCGGCGGAACCACGTGACCGGACGCGCCGCCCCTCCCGTGAGGCCGGCGGCCGCATGCGCACGGAGCGCGGAGACGCCGCCGGCGCGCGGAGACAGCGTCACTTCCGGTCGGGCGAGCGCGGGCCCGGGATGTCCCCGCACGGCGGCCCGGCACAGGCTGGGAGCGCGGGCCCGGGATGTCCCCGCACGGCGGCCCGGCCCTCGCCGGGGCCGCGATACCCGCTCACTCACTGATCCGCAGCAGTGCGACGTAGATGAGGAAGTTGCGGACGGAGGAGAGCACGTCGCGGCGCATCTTCCGCCGCAGCTCCTCCGGGTCCATCTTGGGCCCCAGCCCCTCGATGCGGAACATCCCGGACCGGAGCTCGTTCCCGGCCTCGGCCTCGACCCCGACCCGGCCCCGGCGCCGCTGGCGGCCACGCGCGGCGGAACCACGTGACCGGACGCGCCGCCCCTCCCGTGAGGCCGGCGGCCGCATGCGCACGGAGCGCGGAGACGCCGCCGGCGCGCGGAGACAGCGTCACTTCCGGTCGGGCGTCCCTGGCCCCGGCTGTGGCTCGCTGTCCCTGGGGGTCCCTGTGTCCCTGTTCCCAGCCCAGCCCGAGCTGTCCGGAGCAGTTTCTCCCTTCTCCGGGCACTGTCCCCCCGTGCTGACGGCCCCTGCGTGCCGCCCTGCCCTGAGCCCTGCCGGCAGCTCCTGTGCTGGCCCGGCCCGGCCCGGCCCGGCCCTGCCCCGCGGCTGCCGCTGGCTGCCGGGGCCTGCAGCCGCTGTGCCGAGCCCCGAGTGCCCGAGGCTCCCCGGGCAGAGATCGCCCTTTCCGGTGACAGCCTCCAGCCCTGCAGCGTGCGTGCTGGCAGCACTCAGCACAGGGAATGCTGCCTGAGAGCTGAGCAGGCAGAGCCCTGTGCTCCACTCAGCATCCCCACAGAATGCCCGGGCTCTGCAGTGTTAGGTAGTTGGAAAAAGGGATTTCTCTCAGCTTGGCTGCCCGTGACCCGAGGCCAAGGCAATTACAGAGCAGCTGCTCCCACTGTGCCATGACTGCGGGGCTAATTGAGCCTTCTGGCCGCAGGCCCTGCCAGTGGCTGAGGAGCAGCGTTCCCAAAGCACCCCGCAGCCAGCAGTGACAGGAGGTGAGCACTGTTCCCAAAGCAGCTCCCAGAGCTGCCCAGCAGTCACAGGGTTCGATCCCAGTGCTGCTGCCAGCCAGGGGAGCCTGTCCCAGCCACAGGAGATGTGGCCCTGCCCTCCCCAGGGCTTTCCAGCAGAGTCCCGAGGGAGAGCACGGCACAGCTGCCCGGATCCCCCGCTGACACACGCCCTGCCGTGCCAGCTCCAGCACAGCTCATTGTTTGCTCTGACTGGTGGCTCTCTCCAGTCTCTGCCAGCAGGAACAGGCTGGCAGGTCCCGAGCCCATTTGGGCAGAGCACCAAGCAGTGTCACCGTGCATTTTGTGCCTGCTGTTCCTCCGGTCTCGCTTGCTGTTGGAGCAGTGTGAGAGGGGCTGTTCTCCAGAGCACTGCTCAGGAGGAGATGGAGGAATGTGAGCAAATCGGGGCAAAGCCGATGGAACAGGACACAGGACTGAGCAGAGACTGGAGCAAGCAGGGCACAAAAGTGCTGCTGAGGAGCAGTGCAGGCGGGGCTCTGCCAGGACAGGGACTGGGGAGGTCTGGCCACAAGCTGTTCCACTGGAACCAGCCCATTCTGCTCGTCCCCTGCTGAGATGGGAGGGTGAGAAACATTTCCTGTGGGAGGTGTTCCCACTGGACAGGCCAGAGAGCTCAGGTGTGAGGGACTGGCAAGGCAGAGAAGGCCTTGGCTTTGGGTTTGACACTGTCCTGAGCTGTCCTTGGGATGTTTGTGGCAACTTTCCAGAATTCCCTCGAACTCCGAACCCCAGAGCTTGGACAGTTCATCCCACAGTTATCTCCACAGTTACCCCCATAATTACAGGGGCATTTCACCTTGCACTCCCTGGAGCTGCAGGAAGATTCCTTGCGTGGCACTGGCTAAGCCACTGGCTCTGCCCTGAGGTGTCTGCTCAGAGCACAGCACGAGCTGTGTGCTAGCAGCACCAGCAGCTGACAGAGGGTGCAGGCGTTGCCACAGGGGCAGCTGCACCTCCAGTGCTGCTGGGCAGTGTGAGCAGAGGCCAGGCTCCACTGGGAACAGGAGAGGAGCTCTGCAGGGGCAGAACTCCTCAGCAGCTCTGTCAGCCGTGGCACAGAATGCTCAGATAACGCCAAGGTGAGGCTGTCAGAAACACTGAATTAGACACAGATCTTAAAAAAACCCCACATGATCGTGATGCCTCAGGTTCAGCTTTTCTGTTTTTCAGGTTCTGTGCTGCTCTAGTGTGTGGGTCTGAGCTTCACATCAGGGGATGGTGAGCTCTGCACAGAGCAGGGAGACAAAACAATTCCTGCTCCAGCTGGGCACCAAGGACAAATGATCCAAATCTCAGCCCAAGAGCACAAACCCCGTGGGCTGCAGAGAGAAAAACAAGCAGGATGGGACTTCAAAACCTAAAGCTATAATTAGACAATTAACTCCAATGTGCAATTGGAGCAGAACTGATAAAAGTGAGAGACCCCGTGACCCGTTGTGCATCTTGTGACCATTTGGGATTAATCTTGGGTTCATTTTGTGCCATTTTGGTTCACCTTGGGTTAATTTTGTGCCATTTTGGCTCATCTTGGGTTCATTTTGTGCCATCTTGGTTCATCTTGGGTTCATTTTGTGCCATTTTGGTTCACCTTGGGTTCATTTTGTGCCATCTTGGTTCATCTTGGGTTCATTCTGTGCCATTTTGGTTCATCTTGGGTTCATTCTGTGCCATTTTGGTTCATCTTGGGTTCATTTTGTGCCATCTTGGTTCATCTTGGTGTAGCCCTGGCTGGACTCTTGTGTGGATCTTGAGGAGATCCTTTGAATCAATCCCTGGTTTATTCTGTAACTCTGTCCAGCCTCTGCTCGAGGTCAGCCTACACAAGGCATCAATAGCAGTGGTGGAAAATAGTTACAGGCTGTCTGTTCCTCTGGGAGCAGACTGAGCAGACAGAGAAGAACAAGGATTGGAAGAAGGGTCAGGAATGTGAAAAGGGATTGCGGAGGTCCGCAGATGTTGTGCCAGTGCAGTGAGGAGGAAGCAGCCAGGCAGCCCCGTGTGTGATCAGCAGTGCTGGAGCACTGCACCAAGCTGTTTGGCCGTGGTGGTGCCAAAATCAGTTATCAAACAGCAATGGAGCATTAAGAACCTGCCATTCTTTATTTGGTTAGATGCACGAGGGGACATCTCCTCTGGAATATTGTGCAGCACAGAGAGGGCTCCTGTTTAGATTATATATTTCACAGACATACTCATTTATTTTCCTGGAATAAGCACACATAGGATAGTCATTTCCCCAAAATCATTAACTTCCCTTCCCTTCCCTTCCCTTCCCTTCCCTTCCCTTCCCTTCCCTTGTGGATTCCTCTGTCCCAGGGGTCTCCTGGAGGTCCCAGACCCCGGAGTTGCAGCTGAGCACTTGAGGAGCTGGTGTTGCTTTCCAAATGTGGAGCTGAGCTGGCGTGACCAGGCTGGTGAGTCTCCCGTTCCCCCTGGTTAATGTTTGACAGGATCCCAGGGAATGAGCATTGTGTGCTTCCAGAGGACAGTGGAGGTGAAGAATAGCTATTGTACGAGCCCACAGGGTGTGCAAGCAGCTCTTCCTCTGCAGCAGCAGGATGCTCATCACACCTGCCGTGCCTGCCAGGCCTGGGGCAGTGGGCTGAGAGCCCAGCAGTGCACAGGGGTGCCTCTCTGTGAGCGAGGGCTCTGGCAGCTCCCTGTCACCTCCTGACAGTGCCCAGCAGCAGGCTCACCTTTTTCTAGCTGAGAGCACATTGCCAAGGGGACACAGAATGTGGATTTCCATTGGTTTGCAGACCAGCCTCGCAGGGTCACTCCAACACCTAACCCTAACCCTAACCCTGTCCAGCAGCACGGCAGTCAAGGAGTGTCTTGGGTATGGGGGACAGGCACAGTCAGGCTGTCTCCTCACCCCAAGGGCAAAACCAGCAGGCAGCTTTGGTTCTGGCTTCTTCTTGCCATTGCTGTGGGTAATCTTGCTGGAAAACTGTGGGATCTAGGTGGAAACAAGCTGCAGTAGCCAAGGCGTGAGCCTGCAGGTGACAGTGGCAGGGCTGCATGCTGGCTGGGATGCAGAGGGCAGGGGATGGCTGGCCAGAGCTGCCTGGAGTCTGGCAGAGCCCAGACACTCCAGTTTCAGCTGAAACTCAGGCTTCTCTCCCCACGGGGTTCCCCGGCTCCCATGAAGTCCTGGCATTATGGTAGCACACAGCTGATGCAGACAGCAGGAAGGAAACAGCCCACAGAAATTAAAACTGCCCTGATAATTCTTTTTGAGAGCTCAGTCGGGTTTCTAGGAGCAAGGAACTCACCAGGGTGGACTGATTCTCCTCGATAAAAACCTTCTGTAGAGTTGCCTTCAGGTGCTGTCCACTGGTGTTTCTCCACTCCTGCATTGTGGGGATGGCTCACGGGACAGCTGGAAGGACAGCATGCCTATCTCCTGGAAAAGGCAGTGTTAGCCTGGCCTGGCCCCTTTCCATCCACTGGGGAGATGTGGAGGGACCTCCACTCCTCAGACTGGACCAGAGCTGTGTCAGAGAGGCAGAACAGAGGCTTCCCATGGCTGGGCAGCCTGGCAGCAGCCCCACGGAGGGGCGAGGCAGGTGGTGCTGGAGCCTTGGTGCTGCTGCCACAGCACCTGAGGAATCCATACTGGTGCAGCACTGCTGGCAGCAGCTGGCTCTGTGCCACCCAGAGCCTTCCTGCCTGTGTGCCCCGTGGGGCTCAGCTTCCCCTGCCACCTCAGGGCTCCATGGCTCCCCTGCCACCTCAGGGCTGCATGGCTCCCCTGCCACCTCAGGGCTCCATGGCTGTCCCTGCCACCTCAGGGCTCCATGGCTCCCCTGCCACCTCAGGGCTGCATGACTCCCCTGCCACCTCAGGGCTCC